TGATGGTGGCTTCATAGAATGAGTTTGGGAGTATTCTCTCCTTTTCAATCTTCTGGAAGAGTTTGAGAAGGACTGGTATGCGTTCTTCTTTGTATGTTTGGTAGAATTCCCTGGTGAAGCCATCGGTCCTGGACTTTTATTTGTAGGGAGGTTTTTTATTGCTAATTCGATTTCATTCCTAGTGATTGGTTTGTTCAAGTGTCAGTTTCTTCTTGAGTCAGTCTTGGTGGACTGTATGTTTCCAGAAACTTGTCCATCTCCTCTAGGTTATCCAGTTATTCTTTATCTGCTCTCCCTTTTACCCTGTCCTCTACTTCTCTTTTCTGTGTTAAACACCCATCTTCCCTTTCTTATCCTTTTCTCTTCTCACCTCTCTTCATCTCTCCCCTAACTCCTGAAAACAAGTATGGGGAAAGGGCACCATCAGCTGGCAGATACTAGAGGTATCCAGGCTGAGAGTCAGAACATGAAGCTTGAGATTTTGGACCTTAGAACAACATTAGTAGGGCAGGTATTTTATTCACTGGCAAGTTCCCCAAATACTTAGCGTCTCCTACTTGCCAGGCTCTGTGTCAGATACTTGGGCTATTCCAGTTAATAAGACCCTAAACCTGCCATAAGGTCACAGTCTTACGGAAAAAATATAGCAGCAATAAACCTCTTCTTCTCCCCTTACACCCCCGCCCCCCATTCAAATCACTGGATTTTAATCCTTCACAGTTAATCTGGGCCTCCTTTCATGTTGCTACATAATAAGTAGCAGACCATGAAGTAGGCTAACACATAGGCTTTGGATTAAAGTAAAGCAGACCTAGGTTCAGATCTTAGCTCTGCTACTTACTAGCTGTTTGACCTTGAATAGTAAACTTAGCCTCACCCATCTTCAGTTACCTGGGCCATAAGATGGGCGTGCCATCACTTGCTTCACAGAGTATTACGAGGATTAATAAGTGTAACACCTAGCCCAGTGCCTGGTGCATAGTAGCCCGTATTTTTCTGTCACCCTGCATCAAGGCCTTGCTTAAGCCCTTACTTTTATGAAGCTTCTGAGGTCACTTCTATTCAGACTGATTTCTTTTTCCACTTTTACAATACATAGCATTCTTGGAACTATTAGGTCCCACCTAATATTCTTAAGTAGTCCTTTGTAGGAAGTTGACACAGTCCTACCCTTAACTGCAAAGAGCCCAAGGATAAGGATTGTTCTCATTCATTCCTGCATCCTTTATAACCACTATCCCAGAGATGGGACCATGGCTTACGAGGCCCTGGCAGTATTTTTTGGTTGATTGGATAGAAGACTTGGGGTTTTGCAGCTGACCAAAAGAGCTAATAAAGACTTTCTCCATTTTTCAACTATCTTTACCCAGTAAAGGAGAGGATGAGCATAGAAACTCTCAGAGTTTCCCATCTTAACTCTTCCTCTTTCTTCCGTTATTACCTTGATTCTGACAAAATCCCTGTATTGTAGGCAGGATTGGATTTGTATCCTAATTTTGTAGTTAGAGAATCTAAGGCTCAGATATGAACTCAGGTCTCTTGTTAGGAGATAGATCCAGAGTACGATAAGAGTAGCAGAAATGTGAACAGAAATCTTAACTGACTAGGTCTTCATTCTCTGGAACAGCAAGAACCTTTACAAGGAAGAAGAATAGGGGAACTGTAGTGCTGAGGGTTTAGTGGTTGGTGAAGCCAGAGCCAGATGTAGTTATAGCTAGAGATGTTTCAAGAACATGACAGAGAGAAGGGTGAGAAAGTGTTCAGGATAAATTCATTGGATTGCTAGCCCTTGAAGGTTAAGAAGGATTTGAATATGTACCAATGAAGACAGGCATTCCAGGTGAGACAACAACATAGACGCAAAAGTATGGGATCTGGAAAGCCCACAGTAGAGGTATGGCAGATGATAGATGACCAGACCATGGTATGAGAGTCTGTAGAGAACAAAGCTTAGGTGACTGGGAACCATGATTGTTTTTGAACAGGGGAGTGGCATTAGGAACATTAGTCTGGCAGTGTGGGCCCAGTGAATTGAAGTGGGAGGGGTGGAGGGAGACTGGTGAAAGAGAGATCAGGGAAGAGGCTACTACAAGAGCTTGCCCTTGTAATGTCAATAAATTCTAAGAAATGTTCCAGCAGTGCAGGCAGGCAGCAGATAATGAGATCCTACCAAGAGGAAGTTGACACAGCAGGAAATAAAGAAGATGGTTTGGATGCAAGCTCTTAGAGAAAAAAAACACCAACCCAAAGCCACACACCACAAGGACTTGGTAATAGCGGGAATGGGGAGTGAGAAAAGAGGAGTTGGAGAGCATGAACATTCGGAGTCTAAAAATGTACTTGGGAGAATTTTTACACTATTTACTGAACCGTAGGGGCTGGGAAGTAGGAGATGAGTTCAGTTTGTTGACATGTTATTTGGAAGTGCTGATAGTCCATTCCTAACCAGCCACCCGTCTAGTGCCTCTGCTTTTGTACTTTGACCCTGGCCTACAGAGATCCTTTAGTTCCTTGTGTTTACTGCTTTGTTCCAGGACTGGATTCCCCCCACAGGTCCCTCTACCCATGTCGAAGAGCAGCTATCACTTCACTGAAATAACATAGTACATGTAAGGTGCTTATCCCAATAGCAGGTTTATTTAAAGTGTGTATTAAATGTTAGTGGCTTTTCAGTGGCTGTTGTTAACATCATAGTTTTATGATCCCAGTAGCCTCTGGAACTCCTGGCTGAAGGACTCAGGAGTCGTTAAACCGGTATTCAGTAAAAAGCCTGGACTGTAAGTAAAATAAAAGAGGATCTCAGGCTTGAGGGTAAATAGGGACTTTGAGTCATTCATGTCAGCTAGGACTAGAGAACATGTTTCCTGTCTTCTTTCTTCTGTTTTTGAGAAGTGGTATAATAACGTGGTTAAGAGGGCAAGCCCTGGAGTTTGGACGTCTGGAGTTAAAGTCCCAGGTTTACTATCTATTAGCTGTGCAGCTTTGGAAAATTTACTAACTTCTCTGTGTCTCAGTTTCCCCATTAGTAAAATGGGGAATTTAATAGCACACCAACCTTAAAAGAGTGTTGTAAGTATTAAATGAGTTAATACAGATAGAGGGTTTACAGTAGTGCCTGGCATGTGCTGCTATTCACCTTACCTGGTTACGTCTATCCCACATTCCAAGTATATATGGGAGTTTCTCCATTTTTCAACTATCTTTACCCAGTAGAGGAGAGGATGAGCATAGAAACCTGCAACCAGTCTCAGAGTGCTTGAAAATTTGTCCTAGCTAGGTTCCAGGTTATGTATACCTGGAACCTCATTTTCCTCATCACTGCATTCTAACTATATTGACTGTCTTGTTCCATGGCATAGCAAGTTTATTCTTGCCTAATATTGCCTCAGGTCTTTTGCACTTGATATTTCCCCTTTCTGAAACACTTTTCCCTCTGACCTTTGCAGATCCTGCTTCTTGACTGCATTCTGGTCTCTATCTAATAGTCACCCCTTAGAGAAGTCTTTCCTGACCATTTTATCTAAAATAGACCCCATTCTCACTCCTTGTCATTCTTCCTTCTCTTACTCTGCTTTATTTATTTATTTTTTGGTTTATTTTTCTTCATACTACTCAGTACAAACCTGAAATTATGTATTTACTTGGTAACCTAGCTTTTGCTAGGATGCAAGACATGTAAGGGCAGGACCTTTGTCTGCATTGACCTAAGTTCATGCCTGTTCTGAGCAAGATCCTGACTGACTTCTCTCTCTGTTATAGGTGAGCTCTGTTCCCTAAGGCAGTTGGTGCTGACCCTGTAACCCAAAAGAGGAAATTGCTGGCTGAGCTCAGCCTTGGTACTGGTGAGTGAAAGTACCTAGGTAAACTCTGGGCAAATTTGGGCCAAGATACAGGATAACTAGATTGGGGGCTTAGTTTTACCCTTAGTACAGGTACTTAAATATAATTACTCTCCTACTCTGTGCCTAAAAGATTGTCATAAGCAGCCTCCTGTATTGAGAGAATTGAACTTGCTTTCTTAGAGCTGCCATGAGACAGCCTGGGATCATTTGCCGTGAATAAAGCAAAGCAGGCCCAGTTCCTTCTGGAAGCAGCTCCTTCCTCTGCCAGCTGCTTTCTGCTGGGGAGTATCCCGGACCTCGCAGCTAAGCCCATTCTCTCATAAGTTCTCTTAACATGACTTCAGAGCCCTTAGAGACTTTCCTGATTTCCGTCTTGATTGTGACCTACCAAGCCCAGAGTCAGCTTCAGAAAATCTTGTGGTTTTATCAATCCTACAGAATGTAATCATGAATAGTGGTGAAGATGGGGCGATAGAGTGGGGCTGTATGATGGGGAAGCTTAGAAGGAAAACTGAAGATAGTGAGACAGGAAAAGAAATCGACACATGAAGAGCCAATTGTGTTATGGATCTCATTTAAATTAGACAAAACCTCATTTTATAGGTGAGGGAGTTGAGGCTTGGGAAAATTAGTTTGCCTAGGGTTTACACCTGGGAATCCATAAAACTATTAGAACCCAGGTCAGTCTAACTGAATACCATTGTTCACGCTGACTTGGCAGACTTTCCTTGGACTGCTGATACCCCTGGCATCATGATTTTTCTAATAAAGTTCAAGAAGACAGATCTCCTTAGGGATTCAGAAAGGAGGTCTAGCTATTTGAGGGGCCCAGCAGGCCAAATAGGAGTTAGGGGTCCCTTCTGAGCATTGGCATTTTTAGTGAGGGGGGCCAAGAGGCTGAAAGATATGAAGAACCTTCAAGCAAGCAGAGACTTAGGCTAAATATGACTGGAAAGAGAAGAAAACATCTGTAACACATGGGATGCTATAAATATTTGGGCCAGCACAGATAGGGACCCGGAGAACTGAGTTGCAGTTGGGAAACCTAGATTTTTATCTTCTTTCTCAACATTTGCCTTTAGATAATCTTCATTTCCCTCTTTGTAAAATTGGACCCACACCTCCACATATTTATTTTGTGTACACCAACCATGCAGAATGTTGTAGAAAATCAAATGAGAAATGCAAGTTGGAAAGTTTTGTGAGTTGTAAAACAGCATGACTGAAAAGAGAGAAAGTGAGAAGAAAGTGTTACAAGTATTCCTGGCATCTCAGTCCCTGAACTATTTGCCACCCCACTCCCCAAAAGTAAAAGGGAAGGTTTTGCTCTGGAAATTTAAACTGTAAATTTTCTCCGGTGCCCTTCCCTCCTTCCCTTCTTCTGCAGGCCCTACCCAGAGTTCAGTCGTTCCCCAAGTTCAGTCTTTCTAGGGCACAGAGACAAAACCAGGCAGTATCGGCAACCATGACTTGCAGCATGTGGGCTGCAGAGCGCAGGTTTAAATGCACTCATACACCCTGGTTCCAAGACCACTGCTGGTACAGATAAGCTGTTTTCAAGAGCCCATCCTCAGCATGTGTCTGTACTCACTGACTAGTTCCACTGGGTTGTTGCCATGTTACCTGCTGTCATCTCAGAAGAGGAGGGCTATTCCTATTTTGGCCCTAGGTTCCCTGCCTTACCACCTCCCCCTCCCCACCCCGCCCTGCCTCAACTGCTCCAGAAAAAAATACTTATACTGTAGTCTAGTATTGTATCAGAAGCCATGGGCATTCTGGTTTTCTCACCATCTCTCTCTTCGCCCTTGGCCAGTGATATAGGTCACTCTCTTCACTGTAACAAGGGGCATTCTGTTCTTTCCTCGGCCTACCTGAGGGTACACAGGGTCTGTTCCCCCAACTTGATGCTCTTGGAATCCCTGTTGGCCAATCTTCCCTCCTATGCTGAAACTCCAAGCTCTTGCTGTCACCTCTTTTTGTCTTGGTTGATCTAAAAGTTCTATAGCTTCTGGCCTTTTCATGACCTGGGCATCAGGCTTGCATTTTATTGTTCTTGTAACAACTGCCCTGTGAAGAAGTTCCACTATTGACTATTTTAAAATATAAATGATTCCATATAAAAAAGTGTATAATATACTGATATCCATATAGTGGTTTATTTATCTCAATTTTTCAGAGTCCAACTATTAAAAAGAAGGAAGCAAAGCATTGTCATCCTTAAGGCCTTGTACATCACTAATTTATTCCTGTTTTCACATGTAACAAGTAAAATTGCTTAGCAATCTGGTTTCTAAACCCTCATAAGATTAAAAGCAGCATATAAAAAGGAGAGGAGGAGCTAGCATATTAGCAGCAGCTAGAGGTGAGAACTGAAAGCTAACAGGGAGAGGTAAAAGAAGAATCATAAAGTTAAAATGAGTATGAAGGCCATGTTTTAGGAGCAACAGCCCTATAGATATCTATGTACTTCAGTAAGGTGGGGCTAGGTAATTTTTAAAGTAGTTCTAGGTTCTTTTTGAAGGCCAGAGGTATCAGAGAATGTATAATTACTTGTAGTGTTTGCTATATTATCAGGTGCTATATTGAATGCTCTACATAAATTGATTTCATTTTGATAACAGTTTGGGAGATAGGTGGTGATATTCTCATTTGGTAAATTACTGAGACTTAGGGAGGGTCACACAGGCAGTGATTGAAAGAGCTCAGCGTAGAACTTTTAAGAATCTGGCTCAAGAGAACCAGATTTTTTTTCTATTACTTTACATTGGCTCTTTCCCCATGACGTAAAACCCTGGTCCTTCTCAGCCTCTTGGGCCAGTGGTTCCTGTTTCCCCCTTTATTCATTGTCTTGTATATGAACTTATTAAAGACATTCATTCATACAGTTTGTATTTGTTGAGTGTCCACCATGTGCCAAGCACAGTGTTAAGTGTTTGAAATGTAGCAGTGAAGAAAATAGCTTTCTCTCATGTAGTCTAAATTCTAGTGGAGGAAAAACAAATAAGTACATATGAAGAAAAATGAAGCAGGGTAAGGGAAAAGGGAGGGACTGTTGTGATGAAAAAGGCCTCTGACATTCATTAACAAAGAAAAAAATCCCTCTACATGATTATACCAGCTATGACCTCCAGTTTAGTGATGAACAGAATTGGTGAGAGTAGACACTTTTTTTCCCAGTTTTAGGGAGAAAATATTCAGTTTTGTACCATTAAGTATGATGTTAGCTGTAGGATATTTTTGTGGATGACTTTTATCAGGCTAAGTTCTCTTCTATTCCTAGTCTATTTGATGGATGTTGAATTTTGTTTGTGTGGTTTTTGTCCTTTATTCTACTAACATGGCATTACATTAATTGAGTTTTGGATATTAAACCAAACTTGTATTCCTGGAATAAATCCCACTTGGTCATAGTGTATAATCCTTTTTGTATGGTGTTGGGTTTGGTTTCCTAACATTTTATTGAAGACTTTTTTCATCTGTTTTCATTAGGGCTATTGGTCAGTAGTTTTCTTGTGATGTCTTTGTCTGGCTTTGGTATCAGGGTAAAACTGGCTTCATAAGTTGGAAAGTGATCCTTCTTCTATTTTCTGGAAGAGTTTGTGAAGGATTAGTGTGTGTGTGTGTGTGTGTGTGTTTTGATTATTTGATAAAATTTACCAGTGAAGCTATGTGGGCCTTGGCTTTTCTCTGTTGGAAGATTTTTAATTACTAATTCAAATTTTTTTTTTTTTACTCGTTATAGGTCTACTCAGATTTTCTATTTCTTTTTGAGTCACTTTTGATAATTTGTGTCTTTCTGGGAATTTGTCCACTTTGTCTAAGTTGTCTCATTTTGTGGCTTAAAGTTGTTCATACGATTTCCTTATAATCTTAAATACTCTGGAAAGTCAACAGTGATATCATTCCCGGTTTTGGCAGTTTGTATCTTCTTATTTTCTTGGTCAGTCTTGCTAAAGGTTTGTCAATTTTGTTGATGTTTTTTGAAGAACCAACTTTTGTTTTCATTGTTTTCCTATTCCATTGATTTCTTACTTTAATCTTTATTATTTCCTAACTTTAGCTTGCTTTGGGTTTAGGTTGCTCTTCTTTTTCTGATTTCTTCTGGCTTAGGTTACTTTTTTCAGGCACTGTGCAGCCCAAATGAAACTTTTCTACAGGCTTGACTGACCTGTGGGCTGTCATGTGCTCCTGATGTAGTCTCTGGAGCAGTATCTGGAGACTCAGAGAGGGCCTAACTCAAAAACAGTTGGGGAGAACAAGTGGTCAGCAGTATATGCATTACCAACAGGAAGGGGCCTAGGGCTCAACCCATATGGGCAACGTGGATCCTGCCTGCCCCATTTGTGTGAAGGTGGGCCTGAGATGGGGTGGTGTAGAAAGTAGTCAGGTAACATATGGAAAGCCAAGAGCTCCCCAGACTTCTGAGGAAATTTTGCCTGATACAGAACTGGAGGAGACGGCTGCCCACTTCATAGACTTCAGAGGCAAATGGCTTTGGAGGCCTTGCAGAATACCTCTGTTGCTTCTTAATGAGTGAGATTCTAAGCAGAGATTTGATTCCATCAAAGAAATAAGTCTTAAAGGCAGACCCAATAGGTAAATATTGATATGGGAAGAGATCTAAGCAACCCATGGACTTGTTGGGTACTTATTTGTGGCCTTCAGTTTCTTCCTCTATAAACAAGGAGTAACAGTTTCTACCCAGCCAACTGTGTAAGGCACATTCCAAATAAGTGCTAGATAAAACTGTTAGATACTGTACGCATGCAAAGGACTGTTAATGTTAGTAATTATGGTCCTGGGGAACCTCGGTTGGAGTTTGAGAAGGTCCAAGAGCAGTAGCAATACATCATCATCCTTCGAGGTGTGGAGGATGAATGTCTGATCAGAGCTGATTTTGTAGCTTAGAGGTTCATTGTCTGCCAGTGTAGTCATCAGATGGCTCTTGGAGAATTCTACAGAGAAAATCTGAGGGAGGCCACCAGAGCAGCTCCTATTAGAAGCAGCTGT